GTGATAACACTGTGGATACCGTTAATGCCATTGATGTGGCTTCTATATCGTCAACTTTCTGCGGCTAATAATCCAGCAAAAAAGCAGAAACCTCGTGGTCAGACAGTTGGGTTTGATGATGTCGAAGGTGTTGATTCTGCGAAAGTGGAGCTCGTGGAGGTAATTATCTCCTACTATAAGTTTTGTTATAACCATGTAATATAAAAGTGATTATTGTTGTCTTGCTAGTTTGGTTAAGAATCGACAATTTCTGCAAACATGGTTAATGTTTCTCCCCGTATAAACTATTAAGTAAAAGTTGGACTGTTGGGTATGCATTTAGCAGTCCTTTGTTACTTATTTGCATGAAGATTTGAAATGTCGGGCATACTTATGCTAATTGGTTATGAGACACAAGTTATATTCGGAAGTGGAAGGTGACCCTTTTAAATCCTATTGCCTTAAATGTCATGTTTATAACAGCAAAATGGGAAAGTTTAGTGGAGAAGTTCGGCAAGGGTAACTGACTCAGTAGTATTAAACTGATTGGTGTTGGTAGATGGTTATAATTTAGTAAAAGCAAAAATGTATTTTAGTTTCATTTGATATTTCTAGTAATTTGTAGTTTTGGAGTCAAAGAGCAATAGTAGAATTATTATCAAGGCATCACAGGAAGGCATTAACACTTTTGTTTTTCAGAGAATTCTACTAATTCATAGTTTAAAACTTGTGTGTTGTGACATTATTTATGACAATATTCTGGTTTTTTTAACCAAATTCAGAATTCATTATATCCGAATAAGAGTTATGTTAAAATCGTTTGATTATTTATATAAAGAAAACTTTGATCCTGTGGAATAGCATTTATCCTTTTTCTGTCCCAAAAACTCCAATCTTAAGGTTTTATTATGTCAGATTTTTCCAATAATAAAATGCGAGGGGTTTTAGTTCAAGTAAGCTAAGATTTTCCGGAAATGGTCAATCTTTCTGGTTCTTTGGTGTTTATGGTTGTAGAGAACTGCTAGAGTTTTTAAGGGCAATGTTTGTCTTTACTCTTTAGACTTCATTGGGATACGGTGCCTCCCTTTGAGTTCTACTCATGGTCTTTTTACACTGTTTCTTTGTCAGTTATGCAAAGAGATTGGCATGTTTCCTTACATGATTCAATCCCTAGCTTCTAGTATTGGTAGTTTTTCTTGTTGTTTTGTTGTGAGGATGTCTTATGCTCTTTCTGTACACTTCTCCCTTCGTCCTTAATTTCGTTTTATATAATAACAAATTAGAGAGAAAATAATGGTATGGAAGAATGATGCTCGCGTACGGAGCGAAACAGAAAGTGAGGCAACTTGTGAAGGTTGCAGGATGAACCATGATGTGTTAATTATCTCCGTCCTAAATTAGAAGCATATTCAATTGATCAATCAATCCGCTCTCGATCAAGTTCCAACTACAATCATCGAACACAGAGGACTAAATTTTAACAATTGGAAGTATTCGATTATTTCTAGAATTTTCTTAAATAGTCGAGCACCTCTATCTTTCTCCTTTTATTGATACATTCCCTTATTTGTAGATAGTTTCATGTCTGCAAGGGGATATAAACTACCGAAAGTTAGGAGCCAAATTACCCCGAGGTGTGCTTCTGGTAGGCCCTCCCGGAACTGGGAAAACATTACTTGCACGTGCAGTGGCGGGGGAAGCAGGTGTTCCCTTTTTCACTGTATCTGCCAGTGAGTTTGTGGAAATGTTTGTCGGAAGAGGGGCAGCTAGAATCAGAGACCTTTTCAATGCAGCGAGGAAATCGGCACCATCGATTATATTCATTGATGAACTTGATGCAGTTGGAGGCAGGCGTGGAAGAAGTTTCAACGATGAACGTGACCAAACTCTAAACCAGGCAAGTTTACTCAATATCTTGCATTTGTTTTATTAATCTCTTTCTGCTAAACATATATTATATTTAGTATGATCCCTTCTGTTTCAACATTATTAAAATCTAATTCTTTTGTGTTCTTCCATATTGCTGCTTTTATTTAAATACATTGTTCAAATATCTATGTAATTTTAAGTTTGGGTGAGTATATGTAAAACTACATTGCGAAGAAGTGAACACTGCAAATCGGTACATATCCATTACCTTAGTACAACCGTCACTTTTCTCGTTCGTTTACATACATATATCATTGGTTCTTAAGAATCGGACATTTGACCTTTTGGCCTATATGAGGATCCTGTAGGACCTTACACCACTAGATCAACGTTTTCTTGGTAGTTTTCATGTGTTCTGAATAGCTTTTTTAAGCACTATAAATTATTTTATGTATGTGCAGTTGTTGACAGAAATGGATGGATTTGAATCAGAGATGAGAGTGGTTGTCATTGCAGCAACTAATCGGCCAGAAGCCTTGGATCCAGCCCTATGTCGCCCTGGTCGTTTCTCGAGAAAAGTATTTGTCGGGGAACCTAATGAAGAAGGAAGGGGGAAAATATTGGCTGTACATCTAAGAGGAGTCCCTTTAGAGGAAGATGCGAACGTCATTTGTCATTTAATCGCCTCTCTTACTCCCGGCTTGGTAGGTGCTGATCTGGCAAACATCGTCAATGAATCCGCTTTACTTGCTGCTCGCAGAGGTAAGACCGCCCTCATAAATATTTATTCAAATCACTAATGCTAATTGCATTCACAGATTAGCATTCCTTAGTACATTGTATCTTATTTTTAACTATATAGTCATATATCAAGAATTGCGACACTTAATCCCGAACATTTAAGTATTAGTTGCCCGGCATCTTCTCACTGGACATCCCATCTGCCTCGCTTTGCCTTTGTGGAATTTTTTCTCGAGTTTTCTTGTGATGTACATTAAATTATGACACCTCGATACTTTCAAGTTTCTATCGAACCCAACATTGGTTAGTCGCAATGGAAGTGAACCACCCTCAGGCCGTACCTGTAAGAACAGAGTTATTGCTTAGTCGTGAGGGGGAAAACCGAGAAACCGTTTGTGACCGGATTCATTATTTCAACAAAATTTGTTATTTCCTTTTCAGTTTTTCATCAATTGTGCAGCTTTTCGAATTGGGTTCCTAACATGATAAGTATATATTTGGAATTTGTAGGAAGTGAAATTGTGGCAAGAGAAGATATAATGGAAGCTATTGAAAGAGCAAAGTTTGGAATAAATGATAAGCAATTAAGGTCTAGTAAAATAAGCAAAGAGCTAAGTAAGTTATTCCCTTGGATGCCATCATTGATGGGAAGAAGTGATAGGAGACAAGATGATCCACAAGGACCATTAGGTTATCAATCATTGAGCTCATGAATGGGCTTGCTTCTTAAATTTACTCAATTTTGTATCCTTTCATTTTTCTTAATTTCTTTGTATGGAAGAAATTTTGATTTCCCTTATGATGCTCATGATAGATCATGTCAGTATTTTAAATTGCGGTTACGATCGCGATTGCGATAACGGTTACGTTACTGCGATGTGGATTGAGGCTGTTGCGGTATGAATTATTTTGTTATTAAAACAACATTTTTTAATATGATTAGGTCTGATGCGACCTGATTTGGTACGATGCGGTCTAATGTGGTCCAAATGCGGTTGCATTGCGGCCCGATGCGAGCGCATCATTGTGATTCGGAGTCACACTGCAGTTGCGGTGTGGTGCGGTTACCGCAACTGCAATATTGCAGCCGCATCAAGTGATCATCTGTACCCACTCTACAAATCATTACAAGTTCTTCACAAGGAAGAACATAAACAGGATATATCATTCAGTATGTAGCATTGATACTTCAAAATGGTTGTCGTGTTGGACATCCGATACTTTTTAGGTACTCTTTGTCTATATATTTTCAATTATTTTACGAATCTCTTCAATAGGGTGTGTTTGGTGTAACAGTAAGATTGTTGCTTAGTGACTATGAGGTCACGCGTTCAAATCGTGGAAACAGTCTCTCCACTTGCAAGGATAAGGTCGTGTACATTTGCCCTCTCCAAACCGCACTAAGTGGGAGGCTCGTGCACTGGGCTGCCAATTTTTTTTACGAATCTCTTCGGTATCAAGTTATCCATGTCATGCCATATTCATGTCCCATATTTGTATCCCTGCTTCCTAGCACATTCATAGGCATGCATTCTATACCCATAGGAAGCATTGAATAAGTTCTCTCCTACACCATACACCATACACCAAGGCAATTAATGCATTTTACCAAGGAATACATCATCACTCTACATTTAGAGAAAGCTTGAAACATTAGCAAAATTTTGGAAGAGTATGTGGAGTCTTGTTGAGTGATTCTTAATGATCATTCATGGAAGATCAATGTTATTAATATCGTACCAGTTATCAAACCGGTCATGATACTTGTATAGTGATATAGCGGTTCAACCAGTAGTTTATTAATTAAATTGTATATCGGTAAAGTTAGATACACGTATATAATATATTAACATTAACATTGAAAATCAATAAAAACAATTTTTTTTATTTTCATTAAAATTTAATTTTAAATTAAAAAATCGGTAGGTATGACCGATGTGATTCAATTAAAAACCGACCAGTATGACCGATTTTTTTACCAATATGATTGTATAATCGGCATAATTGTTATACCGTATCGATATTGGAATCGATTTACCGATTGAACCGGCTAGCACGAACTGGGTTTTTATAAGATTGCAAAAATTCATTGAAATCTAATGGAGATCACAAGAATTTTTTACAACAGCTAAGTGTTCTCAAGCAAGTCATTAAAAAAATAAGGTAGTGTGCCTTATAAGGAATTAAGTTAAACAAATGGTCTATTTTCAAATACTTGAAATTTGTACTGAACTAAACTTCTATTGAACAATTGCAATAATTTCTTCAATATAGAAATTAAATTCATAGATTTTGTTTACATTAATCCAGTGTGCTTTTTAGGCCTAACAAAGCTAGTCATAAAATACTATGGATAAAATAAATCATTCAACCATGAGACACGAAATCTATTCCCATGCAAATTTGAACTGAATTATTTTAGATAGATTAAGTTGTTTTTATCCCATTAGAGAGAGCTAAAAAGTGTCACTCAATAAATGATTAGTTAGAAAAATATTAAATTATTAAACTTTTGATTTAAATACTTTTTTTTATTTAACCACGTTAAATAACATATAAAGTTGCACAATTTTTAAGGGAGGAGATCCACTTACTCCAAGAGTAAGTAGAAAAAACATATTTCACATCTTACCATTAATTCTTGGAAAATCTAATGGTTCAGATCTACTAACTAATTCAAACCATTGGATTTCCCAATAATAGTTACATATGATGTGGAGTATATTTTTCACTTACTAAGTGGATCCCTCCCAATTTTTAAGATAGATGTATTCTCTTAAACCGATAAGACTTTTAACTGTCTACCCACCAAACCAATACCTCTGCTCACCATCACCATCACCATCAACCGTTTGTTGACCCCGACCACCTCCACTTCGGCCACCATCCTCGGTCTATCGTTGTCAACCATATCTCGACCACCATCCTCGGTCTATCGTTGTCAACCCTACCTCGACCACCTCCAACCCTTTAGCTGGTACTAAAAAGTATTGGAACATATCTTAAAATTATTTCCAACAGCTTAAGAAAATAGCAATCACATCAAGGTATAGTAGCTTCTTATGGGGGTCTAAATAATTACAAAATACACAAAGAGGAGGGTGAATGGTATGATTGTGTGACAAGTCTTGTATATAAATTAATTCTAATTCATTGTATTATTAAAGTGGAGTGGGAAAAAAAAAAGCAAATTTGTAAAGTTGATTAAATAAAAAGGTGCTTACTTTTTCTTATTGGTAATCCTATCAGTATTGCTACTTTCACTAACTATATTATTAAAGTACAACATCACCATTGGACAATTAATACTAACTACTCTTAGAGTAATTATAAGAGATTGTTATTCTATGCACAATCATAAAGTTGTTATTTAGTAGTTAAGAGATTATAAGTTTAAATCTTTGAAATAATGTATAAGAATAAAATTGCGTATATTTAATATTCTTAAAAATAATGTATAAGAATATTAGTTTATTTTTAGATTATGACTTCAGTAACGTGGAAATTACATTTTTCTCATGTAATAAAGGGGAGGGATTTCCTTATTCTCTAAGAGTAAGTTGAAAGAATTTACTTCACATCTTAGTCATCTAATCTTGAAAAATCAAATAGTTTAGATGTACTCACCAATTTAATTCATTGGATTTTTCAAGAATGAATGATCGTGATATGAAGTAGGTTTTTGTAATTATATATCTTCCCATGAATAAATAGTGGTATTTTTTTTAAGCTAACAGTGGCTAGCATAAAAAGAAGAATAGAAAGTGGATAATAATAAAAATAAAGCAAAAGCAGGGTTCTTTTTCAGCTTTAATTTCTCTTTAAATCTTTACCAATTAAAACGTTGAGCACTTCAATCATTATGAAAGTGTATTTGTTTCTACTCTGTATATGAAAAAATAAATGCTCTGAATGCGAAAGTTGTTGTTGAAACATTATAATGTTTTATAATATATGTATATATATATTATTTAGAAAAGGTTATAAAATCTAATTATTTGTTTATCATATATAGTGTTGTTGTATGATATATAACTTACTTGATAAATTAGTTGATTAATCAAAACTAATTACTTAATAAAGTTATAAAATATATCAAATTTATTAAAGTTATAAATATGTTAAATTATTTGTCAAATATAAACTTATTAGTCCATAATTTTTTGAAATAAGTTAATTATAAATACTAATAAATAACTTTTTTATCAAATAAATGAATCAACTAGTTTATAATTTCTGATGCTACCATATATATTCTTACTTCATCAGTATGAGTGGAACTTATAAACTATGTAAAAATGTATATAAATGTGGACTATAGTCCTAAATAATATATAAATACATTATTCAAATAATAGAACTCATAAAACAAATATTTGCCAGTCTATTAAATCAAACCTTTAAACCAAAGCAAACCACTTTATTGTGGTTCAATTTCACCGGTTTGGCGATTCACATAGTTATCACTAGGGTGGAAACAGATTACTCAGACCAAGTTTTGCCTTAAACAAACTGAGCCTATATAGCACATAGAAGCATAGGTCTGGCCTATTAGTCTGTTTAAAAAAAATTCAAAGCCTAGGCCTGACCTGTTTAAAAGCATGGTCTGATCTGTCAGTCTGTTTAAAAGTCTGCTAAAGTAAAAAAAAAATTAAAAAATTAAAAAATTAAAAATTATGTACAAACTAGAAAAATTTATTATAATTATATCAATTAGTGTTATTTTTTTACATTGTTATCACAATTATTTCTATCATCTTCCAATGTTACGTAATGTATTCGAAGGATTTGTGATGCCTTTGAGGTTAGAATATACAAAACAATGTCTTTTAATATAATAGTAAAATATGATATTGTTCTAATATTTAACATGAGTTAGGTTATATACTTAAGCTCAAGTCTCTACAATTAAATATTCAATTATTAAATAACTTAATCTCTAAGTCCTAGTGGATTTACATAAAAAAATTATTATTTTGTTTTTTTTGTACATATTATAAAAAAATAATTTATAAATATATAATATTATTAGATAGGCCGACCTGTTAAGCTTAATAGACATTTTAAAATGTCCGAGTCTGACTTGTTTAGGTTAAATAGGCTATTGGAGAAGCCTAAGTCTGACCTGTTTACCAAAAAGGCCTGACCTGACCTAACCTGTTATAGGCTAGACACTAGGCCCCTGATAGGCGGTCTCACCTGTTTCCACCCTTAGTTATCACTTATGTCTAGATAAAGATTAAAACTTTATCTTCAACTTTAATGTGACTTATGATATGAATAACTTAACGGAAGGAATCTACCTACTTCAAAAGTTAGATATCTAATTTTGGGAAATCCAATAGTTAGATATACTAACCAATTCAAACTATTGAATTTCCCAAAAATGAATGATCAAGATGTGGAGTAAGTTTTTTCCACTTACTCTTAGAGTAAGTGAATCTCTCCCCATAACTTAATGCATAAGAAACTGAAACTGATAAATCCCCCATTGATTTCACTTTGAGTTATTACCCTTTAGACACTGATATATACACAGTAACACACAGTTATACATAAAGAAAAATATGTATGTAACTAGGCCTTTATCCATGTACAGAAAATGTCCTAGTGCACTTGAAGTGGCACCACAAGATGCACCATATTCTGGTTATCTAGTTATAACTGATGAAGAAGCAGAATCAGAAGACTCATTTTGTTGGAATTTATTCAAGTATAAGAAAGTTAAGAAATTTCCTTTTCCTCAAGATAAGATCTTCACTATTATTTCTCATGACTCAGAATATCAACAAATTTCAGCCACCAAAGTTTGGTTTCTACCTGTTCCTGATCACCCTTTATCTTCTAACCGTTACTATGTTATTAGAGCCAAGGGTAGACACAAAGGGTATGTATGCAATATGTTCTTGTTTTTTTTATGTGGTTCTTAAGTGTTACATGTTTTTTTTGCCACTAAAAATGTAACATGTGATAGTTCATAATCATACATGGTATATGACTAACTAAAAATGATTATTGAATTAGATTTGGATTATCTCAAAACTGTTTATTAGTGTGTTTTCTTATTGTTTTGTGGATATAGAGTCATAACTCATAACTAAGCTCAAGCTTATAGAGTTCTAAGTGTCTTTATAACTAAGCTCAAGCTCATAACTCATAACTAAAGGGTATATTTTGGCGCATGACAACCGGAAAGAAGTTGAGCTTTGGCTCTGAAACCATGGTAAAATTTCATCTTCCCAACAGGTATTTAAACCATTCCCGAGACAATGAGGTAGGCGATGTGGGACTAACTTCCTAACATGTCCCATCCATATAAGACTTTGCATCAGGTAAATGGTTACCTTTGACCAATAACTAAATGACATCTTTTGGCTCATAACAACTGGAAAAAAGTTAGGTTCTAGCTCTGATATCATGGTAAGATTTCATCTGCACAACATGTATTTAAATCATTCCCGAAACAATGAGGTAGGCGATGTGTGACTTACTTCCCAACAGTATTAGTCCGGTGGATAAAGATGTTCAGACAAATCAAAATGTCAAAGTTCAATTTTTTGGAGCGACGCTTGTTGGAAGAGCAGTCATGCACCTCGGAGCTTAGCCTCGCACCCAGAGGGCAGCCATACACCCCAGAGAGATTATTTCCTTACCCATAAAGTGAAGGATACATTTTGGTTATACGTAGAAAAATCTATACTTCTCAATTCATGTTAGAACAAGTATGGGACTTTAACAATTATGTAATCTTATATGAATTTATTTTTAGTGACAATGTTGAAACTGTTATGATTTTGTAGGAAAACATACAAATGCTCAAGAGATGGAGACATTATGAATTGCTGCTTTAGTAACATGTTGAGTGACAAAGAGCCAAAACCATTCAATCTTAAAGACTTATACCAAATTTTCAAGATTCATAGTCACCAAAGTGATGGATTTTTCTCTAAGTCCATTGCTCCTGATGGTATCCCTCCAACATTCCTAAGGAAAAAAGGATGGCGAATTCGAATTTCGGGTTCATATAAATCATGCAAACTCAGTGAAGCACTTGGTGTTGATACTCCTCTTAGAGAAAAGCTACCAAATTTTAATTTCCCTATCTCTAGAAAACGTTCACCACCCATAATTGTAGGAAAATGGTATTGTCCATTCATATTTGTTAGGGAACAAAAGAGAGTTAAGGAACAAATGAACAAGTCCATGTTTTATAGCATGACACTTGAACAAAAGTGGGAAGAGATTTACACATGTAACAATGATAAAAGTGAAAAAGATGTTGTTGTTATTGTTAATACATGTGTAGAAAGAGAGGTTGTTTTGGTTTATGGCATAGAAGCCACAAGAAATAGAAGAATTGATGCTAATGGATTCTATTATTTCAAAGCATGTAATCCATATAATAGAAAAAGGGTAAGTGTTGGTTTAAGTTTAGCAATTATTGAGAATATGAAATGGGTTCAAGAAGAAGGAGGTTGGGCTTATGGTCATGGGAGAGAAAAGATGGTAAGAGTTAGAGAAGAGGTAAGAAGCCAAAATGAGTGGCAAAGATTTGGTTTTTATGTGTTGGTGGAGAGTTTTTGTTTGAGAACACTAGATGGGAAATTATTGTTGAGGTATGACTTTAGGCATACACATAAGGTCAAATGCAAATGGGAGTAGGTGAAGGATGTGATGTATCAAATCTTGTCTAGTACAATGACGATGAAATATAAATTTGTTGTTCTTAGTTGTTTACGAACTTAGGTTGAGTTTGATTTTCTGATGTGACAAAATAAAATGTTTCATGATTGATTTGAAACATACTTTAATATTGGAAAAAATATTTGCAAAGTTAATGAATGAAAGAAAAAGATTTGGGTCTATGAGACTACCATATGACCAACCTAATTAGGTATAGTTGAGAACGATCCTCCTCTCGGAAAATACGCCTTTTGAGCTATTGATCTTGCTCTGGTCATAAGGTCACGATTCATCAGCCAGACTTATGTTCTTGTCTCCTTAAAAACTCAAGGACATAATGAAATGAGCCTAGAGAACTTAATTCCAAGTTTTTTCTCTTATGTTCTATCCATGTGTGCTTTAATTCAAGTTGTGTT